TGGCAAAAACGGAACTGTCTCGTTCGTTTATCATCTGTATGTCCCATTTTTCTTGAAAACTACTGCTTTATGTGGCAAATTGAACGCAATAAAAGTTATAGATATTTGACAACAAACAAAATATAAAATATTAAAAAACATATCCGTTTCATGCCTTAACTATTCAACTGATTATCATCAAATTTTGTACACACACTGTCAGGGGTTAAACAATACTGTTCCCGAGGGATAGAAAAATTAGTTTTAAGTGGTCGTCGATTATTTTTGACACGTATTTAGCACATCAACGCGAGCGAAGACGCGGGTAAAACCTAATAAATATAGTTGCTTAATAATTTTTAGTGCTAATATGAGTTTTTTTGTCTCCTCCCCCTAATAATTAATTACATTTAAGATTACGACCTATAAAGGCTTAATATGTGACAAATTGTAGTGCACTTACAATTATAGTTATTTACCTTTATATGTACCCCACCCATCTACCATTTGCAAACAATACTAGACACCTATCAAAAAATTTTGGAAAAGTTTTGGAGAAAGTTTTGCATCGAGCTTATTACTGTTTTGGAAACAGTACACTCCTTGTTTTCCGTTTAGTCCCTAATTGTAAGTACAACCTTCCCGTCTGTGCAAATTACCAAAATTTGGAGTTTAGTCCTCATTTTTCATTATACTAAAATATAATGTATATATAAAAGAGCATCTGTGTTATCTTTTAGAGAGGGTTTAATTTCTGCATGGCCTGTTTATGTCCACGTTCGAAACAATTAAAAGTCTAAATAAAATGGGACGGGAGAGCAGTCCTCATTTGTTTTCAATCCATATCACGGTGGCTGTGATCGCCGCCGGCCATTGTCTCGCGATTTATAGCTACAACTTGCAAAAAGTGCCTTGTGGTTGTCTCGTTTTTTTTTTTTTTTTATTTCGATATTGTTGTTCAAATAACGAATTATTGCGACGAATATAAATGACCGTAAATTGTAGCTTTGCGTTTTTCAGGGCATGCTTTGTTCCCTTGTCTCATTTATTTTGTCGTTGGAAGTGGATGTCTCGGTGGTTCTCTCTCTCCTAACGACTTTCAATAATAATAAACAAAAATCCACCGGAACTTCTTTTCGTATTGCTTATTTTTAATGCGTAATATATACGGTGGAAAAGAAAAAGTTCGAAATGTGGTGTTACTTACCGGCGAATGATGAGGATACCGTAGGTAGGACACCTTCTCAGACATGAAGGTCTACTTAGATACATATTAGAGGAAGAAACAGGCATTAAGAGGAGTAGAGGTAAACCTACATTATATTAGGTTACTATTCGCAAATACTTACGAGGGCGGTTCAATAAGTACCCGTGTTAGAAATTAAGACACCTTTTTTTTTTAATTTGTTTTTTTATTTTTCAACATAGTCCCCTTTTAGAAAGATACACTTCTCCCAACGACCCTGCCATTTTTTTTTACCCCTCCAACAAATAAAATTTGTCGAACTCTCCAAAATCCCCCCCTGTTTCGGCGATGACATCCTCGTTTGAGCTAAATTTCTTTCTCGCTAGTCATTTCTTCATGGTAGGGAACAAGATGAAGTCGCAATCAAATCGAGTGAGTGCGGGGTGTGCGGCAGCAAATTCATAACGTAATTCATGCATTTTGGCGGCAACAACTCCTGATGAATGTGCCGGTGCGTTATCGTGCTGAAAACGCACCTTCTTTTTCATCAAATGTGTCCGTGTCTTCTTCAATTTTTTATCGAAGCGGTCCAATAACTCACTGTAGTATTGTCCAGTGATCGTTCTTCCTTTTCCTAAACAACGTTTGCCAGGCTTCCTGGTCGCTCCTATCAAAAACGGATCTTTGCCCACGTTTAAATTCGTTGAAGCAATATCTAACTGTGGTCGTAGATGGCGAAATGTCTCCATAAACAGTATCCAACTTTGTTTTCATCTCCTCGCATTTTTTCCCATCCAAAAGCAAAAAGCGAGTTACCGAACGATACTGCTCTTTTTTCATCTTAGCGAAAAAAACGAAACACGTCTCAGTCGAATAGCTGCCAAATCCAAACTAACCTATCAATCAGTCTGAAATTCGTTTTGGCGTGGTTTGATAGATGGCAGCACACGATGGCAATACCAATTTCCGTCAGGAACGTCCTCTGTCTTCAGATACGGGTACTTATTGAATTGCCCTCGTAGTTCGCAAATAGTTTTAATTTTAGGGAAATACGAAGATTAGCTTACAATGGAAAAGAGTGCGTGTCCAACCATAATTCATGGTGTAGTAGTAATTTAGTCCCCTAATGCATAAAATTAATAAATAGTTTCTTAAATTGTAAGCATTTTTAAAATTTGGGATCAATGTATTTCCATCTTTCTTTACTAGAAATGCACGGGATTGTGATTTTGCCGGATACCGGATAATCGGGTACCCGGCATGTTGGCATGTCTTCGTTTTGGCGGGGTTTGCATTAAATAAATGGTACCCTCATCAACTCCCCAAACCATATTAAGTTCCGCTGAAACACTAAATCAATGAAATTTTAATTCTTGGTTGGCGGATTTTCAAGGAGAAGGTTGAGTTGAAACCTTTGAAACGAGCCTTTAATGTTTATAAACACTAAAAGTCTGTAAGGTTCAATCAAAGCCTGATATAGCAACAAGCGACAGAAATTGTAACAAATCGGTTATACTGATATATTCATCCACCCTGAATCAGTTCATAGCTGTATTATACATATTTGAAATAATTGTGTTAGATATGAAATATTATTCTGAAAATTCATTTCTGAATTTTTTACCCACTACACGCTACCTCAAATTAATGAGGGAAAAATTGTTGCTGTTTTCACACCCCCGCCGGGAATCGAACCCGGAACCTTTGGCTTTTTGAACATTGGTGCGTAAACTAACTCACTTCTCAAAAGATGTCTAAATTGTATGTATGTTTAATTGTGTTAGAATTTTTATGTACGAACGTGGTTAGTCAACTTCATTTTCAGTTTTCTCTTATTGTCTATTCAGTATATCTTCCGTAAATATTGACTTATCATTAGTTAAGAGTTAAAAGACCAAATAAATACTTACGCAAAATAGTTATTTTTAGTCTTATTAGCTGCAGTTTAACTTCATTGTTTATATTGCTTATTATTGATTTATTTTGTAAGAGTTAGAATAAGTTTTCATTTCCGTGTCGGCTGAAGGTTTTATTGCGTAATCATGTAATGCAGTGTGTTATAAAGATACTTCTATTTTGTATTGTTTTAACTTTATTTAATATTCTTCTGAAAGAAAATGAAAATTGTATAGTTTTTATCTAATGCGAAAAGGATAACCATGGAAAAGTATTACGGGTAAATAAAAATTGCTAATTTTTGTAATGTTACAATTAACAAGACGTGTCTAAACCAAGCAAAATTATAAATTAGCGCCGTCAAAGTACGCATTTCTTACTATTTTCGTTATTGTTTTCCACTCACCTTAAATGAGTTATGTAATAGTAAATGTAATTAGCAATTTAATTTGAAAGTTGCTCCTTTATTGTTGACTTAATTAAGCAAAATCGTTAAAAGCATGATTAAAAACGATTACTTAATTTAGACATAATTTGTTATTTTAATTAATCGGAAGTATTTAATTATTGCAATATTTAATTGGAATTTTGTGCAAATTTTTTTACTATAATTAATGGATTATCAAAACAGTTTATCAAAATGAGACTGTTCTTTAAAATTATTACAAAATTATGATGTTACACACATACATATTTTAATAGCGTTCTTCTGTCAAATACAGCTTTAGTTCTCTATATGTTCGAAATTTTCCCAATAGCGCATTTTAACTTACCAACCTTCTTGTAGAAGATGTTCTGTCTTTATGTGTCGTTTCAGTCATATTCCACCAACGATGAGCCAAATAAGATTGAATAATGTTGAGAGTTACACATCATGATACTGTTAACGGAATTGATGTTTAAATGTTGATGGACTATATTCATTTCTCGAAATACGAAACATGCAACAACTTTCTCAAAAATTTTACCTATAATGTAAGTTTGTGTACGCATTTTTGAGACATTGAATTGTCCATTTTTATAGTTTGAATTACTTTTTTGTGATCATATTGCACCCCCACCCTTTCTCCACATGGGCTGAATCTATTCCGTTAGAATGCTTTCCTAGTGTCGTTACCGTATCGCACTTTTTGGTCCCTGAAATTAGGAAAATCGTACTTGTAGAGCAACGTTATGATAAAAAAAGTGCGGCACCCCCTTCCAGGAGGAAATGGCGTACTTTTTTCCTATGGTACGTAATACAGTAGAACCTCTATTATTCGAACATCAAGAGGACGCCAAAAATTTCGACTGATGGAGGATTTTGACTTAGGCGAATTTTGATTCGACTTGTAGAGGGTAAGATTTGGTGTACCTACTTACATTGTCGACAAATCCTTAAAGTCGATAACTTAGTTTTCTTCGAACTACAGACGTAATAAGTTTCAAATTATCGAGTTGTAAAGGTTGTAAAATAAAACATTGCTATGTTCGAGATACAGAGGTCCAATTTAATTTTTCGAGTTATATGTGCAAAATATGTACCGAAATGGCTTGCAGAGATTCACTGGTTATTTCGACTAACAGAGGGTTGAAATTTTGAGTAACGGAGGTTTTAGGCCGTTAGAGGAAGGGAACAAAACATTTTTTCGAGTTTTGGAGGTTTTCGACTTATTGAGGTTCGACTTAAAAGGTTCTACTGTGTAAGTATTTATTAACGGTTTAAAGAAGATGTTACGTTACCGTCGTGGCGCACATTTTGGTCCCCTAAATTTGGAAAATTGTACTTTTAGGGCAAGGTTATGATGAAAAATTGTACACGGGCTTCGGTAAGAAAGTGCGGCACCCCCTTCCAGGAAGAAATACCGTACTTTCTTCCTATGATACATAATATAAGTATTTATTAACGGTTTGTAATTATTTGTTTCAAGGTTTATTAATAATGTATTTTCTTTTTCAGAGATCTGAGAATATAGATGTGTCGTTAAGCATTTCTCAATCATTCCAAAGTAACGGCTACGGTATGAGCGATCAGGTAAGCTTGAAATGTTATTTTTATGTATATTGTAATGTTATTTGAAAATGTTCTCTTTCTGCTTAAGTCCAGGAGCAAGCCTTGAAAAGTCAATTTCGATTAAAATAATTAGCGAATTGTTGATAAGATAATTTTTTACATTCGTCTAAATTTATAATTTAATCATTCTGATTTTATGAGTACTTAAATTCAGATACCAATTAATGAGATTAGCGAGATAAATTAGGAGAGATATATATTTAGAAGTTCTATTTCTGTTTTAATCAAAAGCACTTAACTGTTACTTGTAAAGAAAATACCTACGTAATTTATAACACAATTTAATATCGTATTCGGTACTGGAAATGCCGTCAATCAGGTTTATTTTCGTCGGTTCGTTCTAACTTTACCAAAGCAATTTTGAATAAATGGCTTTACTTAAAACCGTCATTTTGCTTTGTTTTATTTTATTCCTTTCGAAACATCTGTTGTATCCAATAACTGGAATTTCTGAAGATGAATTCAATTCAAAAAGTTGTTCCCGAATGTTGGCATTTCCAATAAAAGACCCTTATACAAACAGGTAGTAAATATTTCTGCTTCTCGGAACCCTCCTTTATTTGAAGTTTGTGTTTCTCTCATTCTTTCCCCGACCAGATGCTACTTAGGGTGAAGGTGAACTGAAAACATTCAGTATTCAGTTCAGTTCAACGTTCATTGTGGCAAAGCTTCGTTTCATCCATCGTGTGTGATGTAAAAATAATTCTCCACCACAAGATTCAAGTGATTATACTGTTAATTTATTTATTAACTCGAAATTTATTATTTACATTTTATAATTACATATATTATAATTCGTAACT